CATACATGTGTTCAGTTAGTGTTATTGTACAGCATCAGAGCATCAATGCATAATTCCTACCAAAAATCTATTTAGTTATGTACGTCACCTCTACATGGATGTGTTCAGTTCGTGTCAATATTGATCATCACCGGAGAAATGAATAATTTCCACCAAAAATCTATTCAGGTATGTAGTTCACATCGAAGTGGATGTGTTCAATTCGTGTTAATGTTGAACATCACAGCAGAAATGGATAATTTCTAGGAAAGATCTATTACACTATGCAGTTCACTTCGAAATGGGCTATTTCAGTGCGTACTAATGCTGCATATCACAGCAGACATGAATAATTTCGATCAAAGGTACATTATAGATTGTAGTTCACTTCGAGATAAGTTGGTTCAGTGCGTAGTAATGTCTCATATGGCAGCAGAAATGAATAATTTCTATAAAAACTCTATTCAGGTATGTAGTTCTCGTCGAAGTGGATGTGTTCAATTCATGCTAGTGTTGAACATCACGGTAGAAATGAATAATTTCCAGTAAAAATCTATTCCGCAATGTAGTTCAGATCGAAGTGGACGCGTTCAGCTCGTGTTAATGTTGAACATCACAGCAGAAATGAATGTATTCTATAAAGAATCTATTCAGGTATGTACTTCACGTCGAAGTGGATGTGCCAGGTGCGCGTACATAGTGAGAATCACTTGATATAAATATAATGTTGTAAAGTTGGATGGCAGATATGGTGTGCGGTAAATTCAAGGCGTAGAATTTGGATCTAATTTCAGCACCTGCTGGGAAAATGAATAATTCTAACCAAAAGTCAGTTCAAATTTGGTATGTTCCAGGAAATTAGTTTTGTTGTTTTGAGACGTATAAGTTTGATTACATGGAAAGGTGAAGATACCAATGCAGATTCTATTCGATTGCTGATTCCATTAACTGTTGAACTTAGTGAACTAGGATCATTAAGGATTACGACACGAGTGATGAATAGTGTTCGTTGGTTCCGTTCCACTATTCAAGCGATTCTAAAGGCATATGCAGTTTTAAGGTGAATAAGGCCATTGGTGTGAAAAATGACTTGGTGTCGCAAAGCTTCTCAGCAAGTATTTCGTTTTGTGTGCAGTAAATATGAGTAAATGACACCTACTTGAGGACATTGGGTTAGAAATGAATGATATGTATCAAATTGAAGTCCTAATAATCAGTGGAATCTTTGACTAGCGATATGCACTTGAGTATGATGAAAAACTGCGTGTGAAACAAATGAGTTCAAGTAATGGTTTTTTCAGTTATATGACTTAGGTCTAAGTCTTAGTGTGTAGTTTGTCGAGTATAAAAAGTCATGTATTAGGGGAACTACTGTTATCAGCATCTCTTTCTTATATTTGGCTAGCGTAGAAGAGCAACTCGTCTGATTTTGAATACATTGGATGATTACAAGGTGTGGGATTAATTTTGATCAAAACTATATTCATTTACGCGGTTTACTGTTTTTTATCGCCTTGAATCTAACGATCTTATAGAAAACTATCTCTTTGCTGAATACTTCCAACCAGAACCCTTTTCAACTATCTTCCCTGTATCGTATTGCCCTGAGTAGCACATCGCATTGGTTGAGATCGAATTACAAATGAATAAGTTGCAGTAGAGATCTGTTGAATAATTCGATGTAGCTCAACAAGTAATTAGGTTGTTAGGCCTAGAATCAAGGGTGGCGTTTAAGCTGAATGTGCTTTAGCATAGTTCATTTCCTATATTGTGAACACCTTTTTAAGAAGAATCAATCGTTCGAAGGAAAAAAAATCTTTGTGTAAGTGGGATTGAGATACAAAAATTGCATTCAAATACTTTCGTCATCGCCAAAAATAATCAAATCATTGCCGACACTGACGATAATAATATGATAAGCCCATTTTTCAGAGCAGGTTGTTGTTGCAATATTTTGACCTTGGAAACTATGTGTGTACTTCTAATACCATCCTAGAATGCTTGCTAGTTATATGAATAGTTCTTACCAGTGTGATGTTTGAATTTCTTATAGCTCCGAATACGAAGGTCTTCTGATTGAGTCATAGGTTATAGTAACATAGAAAATCAACGAATACTAGTATTGTAATGTTCATCAATTTCACAAATGTGAGTGAAAGATTCATCATGACTCAAATGATCGCCGTTTTCGTTATTAATGAGCATATATCAGTAATTCCATGTTCACGATTTATATGCCACTGGCGGAGAGGCACTATGCGCCACTAAACACCAACTGTCAACACCAAAAATACATAAGTTTGACAAAATTGTACGCCATAAATAGTCGTATTTTCCAGGCAGTTGTTAAACTTTTAATGTATGATTCAAGATGACAACAAAAATGAATAATTTCTACCAAAAATCTATTCAGATATGTAGCTTATTTCCCAATGGATGTGTTCAGTTCGTGCTAATGTTGAACATCACAGCAGGAATGAATAATTTCTACCAAAAATCTATTCAGATATGTAGCTTATTTCCCAATGGATGTATTCAGTTCGTGCTAATGTTGAACATCACAGCAGGAATGAATAATTTCTACCAAGAATCTATTCAGGTATGTTGGTCACTTCTAAATCAACGGAACGGTTGTTTTCTCGGTATTTTATAACTGCGTAAAATCGAACACTTGTAACCTCTTCATTAAATTATTTGCTTTTTTTTAAATGATAGTTTGAAGTCAGTAAGATGACCTTCGTGTACATAAGTTTTGAACTACTTCAACAACGGCGCCATTTATTTGTTTCGTGAACTTTAGAGAACGATCGAGTTTTCTCATGAATGAGTACAGAGTGCGTAGGAAATGAATCATGATAAACAAAGTTTCGTTACACTATTTTATTGCCCATCAATACTTACCCTTTTTGAAAGATGAATACGCACGACGTAGTAAATGAACCAGCATGACAAATGAGTTGTTCTACAACTGTGTGAGCACTATGAAATGGATTAGTTTATTAATGACACATAAAGCTTCGATGCTACTGGATAAGACATACCAGTTGGAGGGCCTGCAATTGCAATCCCTCTTGTGGCCATGATAATAATAGCCATAATATTGTTTGAGTAAGCCATTCTCGCTCAAACTTGTATTCCAAACAAAAAAGGGTTAAGACCGTGAAATAAAAATTTCTGTGTATGTTTTATCAGTGATACACGTACATTTTATATACTTTATCATAAAGAGAGAAACGAGAGAAAACGAGAGAAAAAAAATCATAGATACCTTTTTTCTCCGCACAAATTATTCAAGTGTGTCCACACGAAATATTGTATCAATTAAAAAATCGCTTAACATTTAGATGACTTCTTAAAAATTATGCTTAACCGTATGAAACAGCATTTTTTCTCGAAGCTGTGACACGATCAAAGCTTACTGTTTTCTTTCTAGTACCACAACTGTTAAACATCAGTACAAAACGATTATAAATTTATACGATTAATGCGCCTTTGCAAAAGAAATTTTATCCGTTGAAATTATATGACTATTACCTTTTCTTTTATCATCCTTACAATCACGCGATCGTCCGACCATAACAAGCCAGTAACGCAAAAATAAATATTTTGTTGTTCACAACAGCATGTTATTTGACGTAGCTCAGATAGCTTCTTTTTTTGTTGATTGTACTTGACAGTAATTAGAAAATAGCAGACGTAATCATTGCCCTAGCGAACGTACTCGTCCGGCAAGTACGACTTTGCAGCATGAGTACGCGATGAATTTCGTGCTTAACTATACTTTTCGTGTACTATGACGGGTACTCCAGTGAGTTTTTTCTCTAAGAATTATTCGTATACGAATATACGAATACTCGAGGTAGTACTCATCGTCATTTTTCAGCAGACATTTAACAAAACATATATACACTAGGATGCATGAAAATAAAACAATATTGTGTAATTAAGAACAACTATATAATGAATCGAAAATTACGGAATAACTTTAATAGTGAATTGTCAATTTTATTCTCTATCTTTTGTGATGAGTCACTCATGTAGCTTAATCAATTGGCTATTTAAAGAATAGAAAAAAAACAAATTCATTTAATTTCAGCTATTCATTTCTCGAGTAAGGCTAAGACCCCAGACACACCAAAAAATTTAAAACCGAATTAACCAATGAGATCGCTAGAAACGTTAAAGCAGAATTAAGTCATCTTTTCGAGACGAATTAACGTTAATGCACCAATAAGAGATGATTTCGTTTCACCAATAGAAATAAAAATGTGGCGCCTTCTACATCTACGCTTTCTCGAGCGAGGCTTGTCTATTTGAAGAATGTCAGTCATGATATTTCTCGACGTCGAAATGAATATCGACTATTTCATATGTTTTCAGCCACCTTTTACACACACAAAAAACAAATTATATATATTATCTTTCATTTCAGAATGGCATCACAATATGTTGGCTTTGTTAAATCGTCTAACCAAGATTTTCTATGTAATATTTCTTCACAAGTAGTGAGCTGCGTGATCGTTATTTTCAGGGTCGTGATCACGATCACGATCACGCGTGATCGTGCGTGATTAGAACTTTTTTTCCCGTGATCGTGTCGTGATCGTGTCGTGATCGTGATCGTGTCGTGATCGTGATCGAAAATAAAACGCCGTGATTCACGATTGTAATATATACATTGAGATTCAAAGTCTCAAAAATTTATTTAAGAATATAATGTTCACATTTAAATCAGAAAAATATCTGATAGTTCACATTTACTGTTAGCAGAAAAAAGAAGAAAATACACTAGATAATTAAATACTAATATTTAAAAAAAAGCAAAACTGAGAAAAAAAGTGAAGATACTACATCAATAAATAATTTATTGAACATCATCTTCACTTTCAATATTTACTAAATGTACGTTATCATTGTGATTATTGTTTATGATATCGTGTGGCTTTAATTTTTTCTGTGTTGGTTCACTATTTGAGATGATGCAATTATATTTTCGTTTAGGATCTTGATAAATATTTGTTTCATTCCAATTGGTACGATATTTTTCCTTCAACACGTCCATGTTTTTTTTGTAAGAACGTCAGTTTGTTCAACTTTTCCCCACCTAATTTTGTTCGTTTGTCGGTGATTGTATTTTTACAAGACGAGAATAATCGTTCCACTGATGTATTTGACGCATGTATTGCTAATACAACACGAGCAATTGAAGCAATTAAAAGAAATTCATGCCAATGATGTCTCCAGTATGAAAGTATATCATCATCTTCTTCATTTTCAAGCACCAACGTGGATGTAAGACATGCTTCTAATTCTGTTTCAATCGTACTTTTTGCTGTTACTTGTGATTGTTTGTCAAATATTTCCAATAACAATTTTTTTCGTATAGATAAAGAATTAGTACTCGAAATGGATGTTGTTGGTGAGCATGATTTTGATGATGATGATGATGACAATGATATTACTGATGAATTTTTAGTAGTTGATAGATATGTAAGTGATAAATCTACTTGACGTTTTAATATTTCTTGTTTCAATAAAAATATTGCGCGTTGCTTTAAATGAGGAGACATGAAAATGATTTTAAATTTGGATGAACTAATGTAGCAGTTAGATGTTCATCGGACAACTGCCATTTTTCATCTAATCATTTACCTAGAAATTGATAAAATGTCAGGAAATTTATATTTATCCTTTCTCAAATTTCATACCCAAAAATGCCTTCAATTGTTTTAGACCTTCTTTATCATCATTATTAATATTGCATTTGTTGATTAAGAATTGTTTTAATGGTACTACACGATGAAGTGTTGGTCGTTTGCTGTCGCTTAGAGTGTGAATAGCAGTATCAAAAGGCAATAAAAATTCACATATATCGCGTAAAAGATCTTCATCGATTCTAGAGTAAGCTGTTAATAATTTTGAATCAAGAATTTTACCTAATTCATCATAAACATCTTGAAATACCACTAACATAGCATATGCGCCACTAAAGCGCGTATCTGAATATAAAACTAATTTTTTTGATAAATTTCGCTGTTTATGCATTTGGCGAACACTTGAAACAATCTGTTTAACATCAACAAATAGTTCTTGAGCTAATTCACAACTAACATATTCTTCATCGATCGTTGGTGATGTAAATGCATGTTAAAGTTGTTTGTTGATGTAATGGTCGCTACATCCGATATGTTTACAATTGAGATTAAAGGTACACTTCATGGTGGGTTCATTATCACTCATTATAAGCTTTTCTTCATTTAATTTCAAGCCAAAATCATTGAGAATATCCTCAACAAATGATCGAATAGTTAATGCTCGTTTATTTTCCATTTCATATGGAAAACAACCAAGCAAAAATGATTGTGAATAGAATGTTGGGTCAATATGATTTAGTGATAAACCACAATATGATAAACCTTCGTAAGAAAACAGAAAGAAGAGAGTCTTTTTTTATGAAAGTGCTTCTCTTACCTGTATACGATTCTGTCCAGAAATCTACTGTTACACAAAAGCTATCCATCGATTGACATAATTTGATTAGTTTTTCTTTATAGTAACCATACTTTCGATCAACATTTCTACTAATCAAATATACAAGAAATTCTCTTAAACATTTATCGCATTATATACAATAAAAATTACTTACTGTTGTTGGATCGGGTAACAAATCTTCAATTTCTATATTTGTTGTTGATGACAAAATGCTACCAGTATCAAATAGTTGTTTTGCTAAACGAACAAAGCCAGAACCTTCTAATAATTTAAATGATTGGCTATCTTGAGCTACGAATTCGACGCATGAGGACGTAATAGCATCTTTTATTCGTTTTGGTATCTGGTTTTGATCATTTGATGGTGACCTATAGTAATGATTCATTTTTCGTTGTTTACTTGATAGATCATATTCTTTTCTTCTTAATTGGCAAGAACGTGAATGAGCAAGCATACAACCAGATCATGTTGATGATTTATAAACTAATATTGATTTACAATCATCACAAATGACAAAATTTTGTTTAATATTGGCGACATAAATTTGGCTAAAATGAGACCAACATTTGGATATTCTCGTGGTTTCTTTTGGTTTTTCATATGATATCGATGTATTGTTTTGTTGAATAAGTCGCTCAATATTTTTTTTATTTTGTTGAACGAGATTAGTAGTTGTAACACACATTCTAAAAATGAAGGTAAATAAAATTTGTTTTATATTTTCAAAGAATTCTCGCGAGCGCGAGAATAAATAGAAGAGAACAAGCGACTTTTATATTGTTGATTCTATTCACTTTGACTGTATCCAATGAAAGATATCAGACAGATGGCGCCATCGAATGATGACAAAAAAATTCTTCGCTCCCAGTACTATGTAAAATTCGTGATCGTGATCATGATCAATCTGTGTGTGCTCTACACGAAATGAAGTTTCTTCTCATTACCATTGATGTTGAATTTTCATTTCTTCTATTATTATGGTTCAGTACAATTGTCCAAATTCACGAATTCGATAAAAACTAAAAAGCTATTTTACTTTAATTTGTAGTATTAGACTTATAGGAATACGACCAGTGTGTATCAATATGCATTTAATCAACCGAATATTCTGTCGTCTTTTTTAATTAACTGAGCATATGTGTGTGCATATTGATATAAAAGAGAACGAATAATATTAAATAAATGATCAACACTAGGCAATGTTTTGATTATTAACACATTTTAAACAATAAATAATAAAACTTTGATTTGAAAACAAAATTACAGAATAAAAAATTTGAATTTACCTTTCAAAGCGAAACTATTGTTCCTTCTTTCTTTTGAAATATGTCCTAAATAGACACTCATTATATTTTACTAATGGGATTTTGATACACAATAAAATCTCATTTTATTTCTAAATCATATTTTTAGTGGCATTGCTGTCAGGTGCTCGAAATGCGAAGAATGTTTATTTATCACAAAGTATTTACGATCGAATGAAAAAACTTTTTCTTGAAAAAAAGGATCCATTAATTTCAGCTGCAGTTCTTCTTGCTAATACTTATGCGTCATCCGGTGAAATTGACAAAGCATCAGATATTAGATAGGAAATTTACAAATCAGATACCAAGAAAAAAGTCGGTCTCACGTAGATTACAGTCGATGGACAACTCTATGTAAGTCAACAGTTATCCTATTTATCTTCTGCACAGATAATATGAAATGGTTTTTATAGACATTTCGAGCCCATGATCGATCACATCCTCGATCAAATGAAATCTATGCGGAAGGTGAAAAAATATCAAATGAAATTATTAAATATGGTCATCAATATGATTGAAGTTGAATCACACGCATATTGGATGAAGATTAAACCGTTGAGTCAGTTCTTTGTGGGTACAGTGAAAAACTTGCCATTGCATGGGGTTTCGTTGCAAATCCTAACGCATCCAAGCTGCAAATGGTAAAAAATCTTCGTATTTGTGGTGATTGTCGTATGTGATGATTTCAATAGTTTTAATTTAATTTAAAATTTTCTCTTTCATAGATCGTTCTACAAAACTGATAGCTGCTTTTCGTCAATGTAAAATGATCGTTCGTGATGCAAATCTTATCCATCACTTCTATAAAAATGGAGTGCTCGTGTAGTGACTATTTCCAAAAGAAAAGAAAATAGCTTTTTCTTTTTTTTGTTATATTAGTTTTATATCGAAATAAACTTGAAAAAGAGCAATGGTTTCTTTTTGTGTACTCAAAAAGTCAGTACACTCTAGATTCGGTCAGTGTGTCCGGTCGTCCGTCCATCGGTCCATTAACACGGCAACTCTTGAAAGCCTCATCCAATTGTCGTGAAATTTTGTACACAGAATGATTTCATCAATATCTCAGTCGAGTTCGAAGATGAGAAGGATCCGTCAAGAAATGGCTGAGCTATCGAAAAAATTGTCATAATTGACTAGACCATCCCTGAGGGTGGGGGTCAGGGTTTTTTTTCTCAGAATTATTTACAATATATATAAATCGACTCGACTTTTGAAGTAAACATAATAATCGGATGCAAATCCGATGTTTCCGCATTTATTCTTATAGAAGTCACTCAAAATTGAATGTGTAGGTCAAAGGAGAACGCCATAATCAAATAGATGCCTCTCTATCCATGAACATAAACTACAGAAACATCATCGTTCAAGAGAATATCGGATAGAAACATTTGTACAAAAATGATATCACTATTGCCCCATAACAGGCTCAAAATGTGTGTCAGTAATTGTTATTGTGAGTGTGAGTGTCTAAATATTAGAAACTGGTTAAATAATTGTTTGGTTCGTTATTTCATTCACTAATCTTAATGTTAATCATAATATTCAAATATATATTCATCCAACGATTTCATACGACAGTTATAATAACTATCAAACTTGAGTTTCTCATCAGACAAAGACCAGATGTACAACTGTTCAATAACATAACATAACATTCTTTCTTTTATTTGTTACACACGTGTATGTGTGTGTATTAAAATTTCGCAACAAGATAGAATATTAAAATCAAGAAAAACTTCTATAGGTTAAACGAGGTAAGACAGATTTCGATTGATTGAAGCTTAGTCGTTATATAAAAAACTAAATAGTTCAAGAAAGATAAACTTTGAGAGTCAAAGTTAAAGTAAAATACTTTAAAACTTTAACTTTAATAGAAATACTGTAAAAATGAAAAATAATTTTTAGCTCTTTATGTGTAATTTTGAGGTTTTTAGAGTAACTTTATACTTTAATAAACAGAGTTTAAAGTTTAAAGTTAAAGTGCCACCCTTAGTTTCTAGTAGATATATATTATATCGATTGATCACATTCAATAATTATATATTCATGAAAACTTTCATGATCAGTTATTGCTGTTTCCCATTTATTTGCTCATAATGATTGACAAGACGATCATGCTAAAATTTATTGATAGAGTGGATGGAAGTATACTGGTGACAGAAGAAAAAATATGCATCCACACCCTCAAAACAATATCGTTTAATGAGTATCTATTGTTCTAGTTTAATAATGTAAAAAAAAATTGAATTAGCAAACGAAAATGACATGCTACAATGGATTCAAGATTCTCCACTCTATGTTGGTATTGATGCAGTTCAATTCGACTTTCAAATGTATACAACTGGTATATTCCCTTTTATTCAATCGTAGTATTAGATATGCGATATATTGTTTTTAAATCAATTAGGTATGTATAGTGACACGACTTGTTCGAAAACAAATGTTGATCATGTGGTAAAATATTGAATCGCCATTCCGATATTCAGCGATTATATCTTAACTCTACGTTCTGGTCCAACTTGGGGCGAGCAAGACTATATTCGTATCGAACGTGGCACAAATACATGTGATATTGCTGAATATGTTGCGCAAGTTGAATTTAAAAAGAATAATGGTACGCGATTATTCCTGGTCAATCATATCTGTTTAACAGTTTTCTGTTTTATTTTACATTTGTTTTTAAATTTTTAATAAAAAATTGATACAGAAAATGGCCAAAGTTTAATAGTTCCCTATTCCATGCGGAAGCTGTTCTTGAAATACCTGTGAGGATTAAAATGCATTATAACTGTCATTGATAATTAGTAGAATGTCGTTTTATTCTATCTGATGTGGAGCGCATCTCCTGAACTTAATCCGCCATAAATGTAATTAGGAAGTGATGCATTTATTATTAAAAAACACACGTCTCATGACTCTGTGTCACGACCTGTGGAAGGATTGTATTCTAACCCCTAAGTACGAACAATTCTTTTACTCAATGATCTATTGTAGTTCTATTTCTCTTCTGGCATATGTGAACTGATTCAGCTGAAGGGAGTTCTTTGAAGTATTGCGCTTCATATTGAATTTATAATCATTATCTAGTTTTACGAGAGTAGAGAATAATATATTTACGCATTATTCTTTTAAAAGATTTCACCTGAATTATAAAAATAAATTTCACGAAAATATCCTCTGTAACTTAAATTGATCATTAATCTTTAATACTGACACGCATGAGATTATCTATCCACTCAGGATTATCGAATAATTCATTTTAAAATGTAAAATATACTCAGTATTATTTTGAATATAGGAACGTTTTAGACTAACATCGACGAAAACAACACATGTGGTATTGAAATAAATCAGTTTCACGCTCAGGATTATGAAAAAACAAAAACTTCTTGCATTTCTTCCAAGCTTATTTGAATACAAATTGAATCATAAAGTCTGTTTGACGTCATCGAAAACAAATATTTTATTATCAATGTGTGATTTTATAAAGATAATCTTTTCAATTATCAATAGAAAATCGTTTTATTTCCAGCATGAGTCACGATGAACAGGAAGTAATGTGTTCCTTATAAAAAAGAGAATTTATTTTCATACGTAATAATCATTTAGAATATGATTCTTCTTACATTTTTTCTCTACTATAGAGAAAATCCTATTATATATGTCATTTCTTCTTTTATTAATAGAAAATGCTTAAGTAGCGTAAGAATAATAATCTTTCTCTGATAAAATGTCAAATGTGTATCTATTAACATGAAAAGAATTTTTCATGAAAGATGAACAAAAGCATCCATGGGGATATATATATATATGACTTTAAAAAATGTTTGCATTTTGTTGTTGGTTTGCCAAAATAAAGGGTTAGTGTAAGATTTAATGAATAGAAAAGCAAAGTCTACATTTACCAAAGTACGTTCACCTCTTTGGATTCAGTAATTCAAGACTTCTTTGATGTTAGCTAAGATCAAAATTATCTATTCACTTGTTATTGTTTTTTAATAGAAAAATAAATATAGCCGAAATTAGTATTAGTATCATTATTAATTAAAATTTTCCACATGATCACTGCTATCCCACGCCCCAGACACAAAATCTGAAAAATTTCTACTTTCATTCAATTAAAATCTACATAAATTAATTCCTCCAACCCACGCAGCCTTGCTTTTTCAAATACACTGCTGATTGTTTCTTCCAGGTTTGAAATATTCTAGAGAAGTTCATATGTTATCTTATTCGAAAGAAATAGAAGATGGGAAATCTACATCGTTATACTTAGCGTTTTGTTTTGTTAAGTGCTCCAACAATATTTGAATTTCAGTTTTCCTTCGAAAACAAGAAGGTACTTTTGAGTACGCACATAACATAAAAAAAACAATTGATAATAGAATTGCTTTGTTCCATCAACAAACATTTGCTTGACGTAAAAAGGATAAATACAATTAGTTGTTGTTTCCTTCGATCGAAAGCATCAATGTGATGCAATTATCGTTTTCTTCGTTCATTCTCAGCATAGAGTTCTATTACAATGTCTGTTAAAAAAATCAATTCATCATACTTGTATATCGATCTCTGCTATGCTTAGAAGTTCATCTCTGATGTCGAAAGCAAAAGCGTTAACTCGCAAGTTTGTTTATTTTCTTGCAGCATCAACTATAAGCATTGTATTAAATAAAAATTTACAAATGCGCCCAGCTTCTCTCCAATGATTCAAATGCTAATTAAAGACAGCATTGAGTTTCCTTTTTCTCTGGCGCATTGAAATCAGTTGATGACGAGTACATCCATTTCTTTTGTTATTTTATTATGTTTGTCTTACTTAGATCTGCTATAGTTCACTGGATTATCCCACACATAGGAATGTGAAAGGAACTAATCCCTCAGAGAAAAAAGTCACAGATTAGTAATGCAGTGAAATGAGTTTCATATGTTTGTGAACCTTGAAAGTCATCTAGGCGATATTGAAACTATCTATACTGTATTATATTTCTAGAAAATTGCTGATTATATTTAATAGATGAAAATAAATATTTTTCTTTCACAAGACAAAAGTTAAACTAACGAAACAGAAAATGTTAATATTGCAAAATATGAATAAATGTCCATCAATATATCAAGACACATTTTCGAATCCGTATACAATCGAGCAAATTATCTTAATTATCTATTCGTTAATATTTACGATTGGCTTCGTTGGTAATATAATGACAATTTTTATTATTGCGTTCAATCGACATTTACATACGCCGACGAATTACTATCTTCTCAATTTGGCTGTTTCTGATTTAATGATGCTACTGTGCAATTTACCGTTGGAAATGCTCGAAATTTACAATCGCGAATGGCCACTATCAAGCGTGTTTTGTAAATTGAGAAATATATGTGCGGAATTTTTTACATGCTCATCGATATTAACAATCTTAGCATTTACATGCGAACGTTATTTTGCTATTGTACATCCTATACATCTACATCGATTAAGTCATTTTCGTCGAGCACAAAATATTATTATGATTATTTGGTTAATATCAATTGGATTTAGTCTTCCGCTTGGTTTATCCTATGAAATTGAAAATAATTCATTATCGATACTAAATAATTTATCAACTATTGTATTTATAAGTAATGATACAAAATTAATTCAATCGAATCAAATAGAAAAGCATCTACCCTACAGTTGTAGATCATGTGTACCGACAAAAAGTCTTACAAAAATTCTATCGACAATTATTATAATCACATCATTTTGTTTTTTCTATCTTCCGATGGCTATCATTGCAGCTGTTTATTTATTTATTGGTAAAGCATTAAGTCGTGTTAATAAATATGAAGTTTATTCACATCAAACAGAACTAAGCACATCATCAGTGTCGAACAATGGTGGCAACGTGAGAAAATCCACGGAAAATAATTCTTCGAATTCAGGCGTATCGAACAAAGAAGTACCTGATAGACAACATCATAGTCCACATATTAATTCATATTCGTGGCTAAAAATGCGTGCACGTTGTCAAGCACGGAAAGTCGTTGTTAAAACTCTTGGTAAGTTATTTAAGTATTCTAAAAATAACAAAACCGAAAGAGTCAAGTTAATATTTAGATATTGTTTATCATGCTTTTTCTTTTATCAGGAGAAGTTTTACCGGTCGTACTAAATAGAACATCTCTATTCTATTCAGTTTTTCCATATAAAAAAGTAGACTGTTGAAGTTAAGAAAAAGTTTGATACATAAATATTATAAATTATTCCCCTACATATTACTACTGACTCTAATCAAAAGAACGAAATTCATTCTTTTATTTTTCTTTATCTAGTGGCTGTTGTTATTGCATTTTTTGTTTGTTATGCTCCATTATATTTGCAGCGTCTATTTTTGGCTATTATAAGATTAAACTCGAATTTTAATCTTGAATCATCTTTATTTTCAAATTTTATGGCTGATTTATATGTTATATCAGGTATAACATTTTATTTCGGTTCCGTTATTAATCCAATTCTTTATAATGTTATTTCGAATAAATATCGGCGTGCATTCTGGAATCTATTTCATTGTCGTTTGAGATATGGAAGAAAATCAAATGATCAAAAATCATTTCAACTCAATCGTTCACACAACAAACCAAGCACGTTCTGCATTCACCACTATAACTTAAAGCAAAAAAGATCTAGCTCATGCATGTCTAATAAATTATAAAACAAGAAATCTCTAACAACTAATAATTATCATTTCGAATTGAATACATAGTCATGTATGGAACACAATAACCTGTTGACTTGTTTATATATAGGCTTGTATTTAAATGTTCAGTATTTTATTACCAATGTTCAGTAAATTTTTCATCAAATGTTCAGTAGTTTTTTTTCAGTAAAAAAATATTTTTGTTCAGTATATAATTCAAGAAATTCAGTAATTAATTCAAAAATATTCAGTATTTAATTCATTTTTGTTCAGTATCTAATTTATTTTTGTTCAGTTTTTTAATCATGTATTTCAGTAAAAAAAGTGGAATTACAATTAACAAAAATTGATTGCATTAGTAACCCTTTTTTTGGATTTTGATGGTCTGCCACGACGTCTTTTTTCACCAATTTTAACATTTTTAGCAGCAGGTGGTGGTTTGCAGTGATTTAATCTAATTGTCATGCCGACAACATGTTTACACATAAAATTCTTGAGAAATGCTGGTCAATTGCAAACACCATCTAACCATTTTAATTTATCTACTGGCAATGTAACAGATCAAATAGGGGATGCTTTTTCTCTATATTGATCAACAGTATACCATTTCATTTTCTTCACTACATCAATTCTGACGTTTGTAATTTTAGTTTCATCTCTAGCTGGTATATAATATTCAACTAAATTATCACATTCAGTCGAAAGTNACGACGGTAAATCGCCGTATTTGGCCGTATTACATGGCTCCGTATTACGATCGTAAATCTCCGTGCCGTATACGGCGAAATACGGCGCTTTACGGTCGTTTTTGATCGTATTTCACCGTATACGGACGTCGTAAAGCTCGTCCTGGGCGCTGTTGTCTATAATTCTAATGAGATTGTCTGCTTATAATTGTATTTCTTTAAAAACCTCTTTCATAACATCTCGACCATTTTTCAACAATTTCAAATGCTAATACTTAATCTTGATAAAGGTAGACGTTCACGGTGTATTTTTCTTTTCTATAACATTGTTTGTGGCTTCTAAAGCATTATTGGTACTTGGTGTAAAATGACCAACTGCTTCATACGGTGCATTTTGTGTTGTTAACCATTCGTTTTGGAAATATTCTATGAAATTCGGTTCTTTTTTTGACCATTTTTCAACAAGCGAATTTGAAGCTTTTATAAATATACGCTCGTCTTATGCTAACTGTAATGATTCTACATCATTCACTAAATCTTCTTGTTCTGATTTCTTAACCATTGACTCTATCTTTTTCACTACATTGCTATGCATATGTGCTCACCCAGGTTGATCAAAACAGACTCGTTTACGATCTGTTTATCGACGATAAACGATGTCAAAACGGTATTTACGGCAGTAAATAGGCCGTAATACCTGGCACAGTAATACAGCACCGTAAACAGGACTGAATTTTCATGGTTTACGGCTGTTTGTGCTCCGTACTCTCATGATCATACGGTCCGTATTACTGCGCCAGATATTACGGCAAACTTTCGCTCGTAAAATAGTCGTAAAGTAACCGTAAACGGCCGTATACATACCGTACTGTTCGACTTGGGCAGCACATAATCATTGTTTTTTCTCCAAACAGTATCTTTTGATTGATGACATCATCATCTGTCAGTGTGGACAAATGTTCTTCTATTTACATCAACATATACATCGAAAAATAAAAGTGATTTACTGATAAAAATACTACTTTTTACTGATAAAATGTATTTTTGAAACAGTAAACTGAATTAATTACTGAAACTCTAATTTTAATACTGAGCAAACAATTAATTAACTGAACAAACGCAATAGTTACTGAACATTAAATTTTACACTGACAATTTGATATTTTTACTGAACATTTGTATATAATACTGAACAAATTTTACTGAACATTTGCAATAAAATACTGAACGATTAATTTGTCGCCATAATATATCGGTTTGAATGTGTTTCTCGATCTATGAAAGTTTTTTCTAGCAACTAAAGCTAACGAATCATGGTTGGGGGGAGCAAAGTTGGTAATGGACCATGGATACACCTCTTCATTGGTCTAGACTAGTACGGTACTCTATCATTGATGTACGAGTTAAATTTCAACTGGTAATTGAAAGTAGGACACTAAAACAATTATTGGTGATGACTACACTGTAAAAACAATCCGCAGAATAATCAACGGAAAAACGTTTTTGATAGGGTATTTAACAAAAAGAAAGGTTTATGAAAGTGCAACGTATCATAAACCCTTTTTTTCGTATATGACGAAAATAATAAACGGCTTTTAGGTTTATGATTTGGAAAAAGGGTTTATCAGATATTTCAAAAACGGACAAAATGGTATGTGTCACGTTGCACTTTCATAAACCCTTTTTTTACAGCGTATGTTTTCAGTAGTCATTCATTACTGCCCCTGAAAACAGCTTTTTAGCGCAGACCTTTTGAACCTAAAATGTGATCATATACGATAATGATGTACGATCCGATACGATCGGATAAGAATCTGTGACCGATCTTGCTGTCTGATTTCTCGCTCTGGGTTGTTTGAATAGAAGAAATTATGCGCTGAGAAGCAAGCGCATATAGTAGCAATTACTAACGACATCAGAGCTCGATTCTGTCTCATGGACTAGATAGCTGAAGGAACGTGAAAAAACGCACGACAAGAAAATAAAATACAATGATTAACACGTGTATACATTCGCTCTTTTACAAAATACGACTACGTTCTTCAATAGTGATAGCAATGTGCCCGCAGTCTCTAAAATGATAAATGTACACATTGAAAGAAAACCGTACAATAGCGTTAGAGAATGTATTATATTTAAGGAAATTTCTATAAAAACTACGGTATGATAGCTTGAAAAGTTGATGAAAACAGGCACGACCTTTGAAACTATTCGAGGTTGTACTGAAGGGAACATTTGTGAGATCACACAGATATTGAGGTTTCAATATAAAATTTTACTTCTAGCGCTCGGCTGCGATTCGACCTATATTTCCTATAATTCCTATATTTTATCGAAAAAAGTAATTAGAAAATTTTGGAAAACCTCTGAATTTTGCTATTGTCTTTAGACGAAAAAAAAACTTTTAATGTGTATAATCATGTGTTTTGGACAAATTCTTGTATTATGGTGACATTTGTTTCAAATAGTATTTTTCCTTTCACCTATTTAGTGGGTTGACTGAGAACTTGTTTAATACTAAGTGTAAAATACAAAATAGTTCAAAAGAAAAAAACATTCACAAAGTAATCATGTACCAGTTTTGGGTTTTTAGTGAAGTTTTAGTTAGATAGAAAAGCTGTATCCCTGGAAAAAATAAGTTTCACTCTGTATTGTGAGGATATTGTTACCAAAAGAGCATATTTTTTAAAATTAACGACATATTATGAAAGCCCGCGAAATTTTACAACATCCTGTGTATATGCATTTTCATTTACACTTATTTATTACCAGAAAACATTGAGTTATGATAAAATACGAAATAAACTTGTGAAAAATAATAAGCGATGAATGCTGATTATCAGGACAATAAAATTAGGTTGAGATTTTTTGGGAAGTCATGTCCGTAATCTGAAACGCCTCCTTTAATTATGAGAAACAGTATTTGTCTTTTTCATGTATTTGTTTTTTCAAAGCTTATGATCTACTTTATTGTTATTTATCGATTTGTGAAAAACTTTTATAATGATCCTCGAATTAGCGACTTATTTCTGTAGAAAACATTACATAAGGATCTTGGTTACGATTGAACTGTTTATAACAGCCTCATTAAAACGATTTTTGAGCAGAGCAGTTAAAAGACACCAAAACAATTGAACAGAAACGGTGTATAAAACGTCCTCTCTTTTTGTCATTTTTTATCGAAAAATCCTATATTTTTGAAAACCTTGATCCTCTAAGGATTTCTATATTTTTAAAAAAGTGCAATCGGAGGCCAACTAGCGCTCTAATATAAATCAACACCATGTTAAATCACAGTTAACTAAACTGCAGCCTCATAATTATTGAAATTCAAAGAATCACCCATGTAAATATATCTTCAGAGTTAATAGTGTAAGTCATACTCTATAAAAGTTGAAAAATAGTTTCAGTAATTGCATCGATGTGACATCAGGATACTGTACTCTGTAGAATGAAATGTTGTAAAGCGTTCAAATTTATTCGATAGTTAAGAAACTGTTAGTTGTGCTCTACAAAATAAAAATCTCTGTTGTTCTATGTGTACTAAAAAATTATTCATAAAGATTTCATGTAAGTTACAAATAGAAGAAAACAAGCGTTTATTCAATAATGTGACCAATAAAAGTGTAAAAGTTACCATTGGCACGTTCTTCGGCTGCATGCTATTGCCACAGATTACTAATTGTTAGGCTTGTATACGAAGCACATGAATTCCTATAGGAAAAGTACTTCATTTCAATAAAAATAATCTGATGAAATTTAAACTTACGATGAGAAACAGAGCACCGAGACCCACTGCTTTCATTTTGGCATCGAGATTCATTGGAACTACAATGAAAAATCATCATTTTTCTGAATAACTAAAATAATAATATGTAATTTTTTTCTCGATATCTCCATTCATCAGAGGAGATTTTGAATAGTGATTCATTGTGTTTGATGGTAGCACAACTATCAATATATGATGAACATGTGTCAAATCGCTATCTTCACAAGGAAGAATTCAGTCTTTTTTAAAATTTTCTCAAGGCTGAAAAAAATTATTTTTTATTCAAAAGTTTAGCATGCTATATAGGGTGTGGGGTGTGTGAGTCTGTGTTAACAGAATGACTACACCTACACACACACACACCCTTTTTATTTGAAATGACAAGCGTCATGTTCAATGGTGCTTTGCATGAAATATCGTGATCTGATCAATTATTAAATGATTTACTTACCTTCCAGTGTAAATGAGTCAGCACTTGTAAAAGCTTCAATGAAGAAGCCACCATATTTTTTCTGAATGCCACCGATTTTTGTTTCACCATCAGTACCAATTATCTTCAAATAAATAAAATGAATATTCAAATCATTCTTCGTTCTTATTTATTTCATCTGTCAACATTATTTACACGCTTTTATCATAAATATCGTGATGAAAAACAAAATCAATATTTGCATATAGACTCAGCTAATATTTTACCCTTCTGGCAGTTGAGAAGTTTTAATGAGCACGTCTTTTACTTATTCTTTATCAGAGAAAAAGTTGCTGAGTTGTATGCAGAATATATATTGCAATTTGAACGGTCGAGTTTTTAGATATTCCAACAATATCAACTAAATCAAAATTTAAGATAAATTTAATTCTCTTCTTAATAAAACATAAAAAATATCTTTCTTGTCTTGCAGTTTCAGTTTTTTGATCAAGATGTTCTTAAAACATTGATTCTTAAATAAATTTACTTTCTGGAAGCCCAAATTTTAGAGATTTTTGGCAATAGTTGTTAAACCGTCTCTTCTATAAGGTGAATGTTATTCAGGGAACTGATGATCTGAATCGAGCACAGTCGATCTATATAGACGAAGAAAGTCATTCTCATGAATCTTCTTACAAAACGAAAACTCTAAGCTTGATTTCTGAAGTAAAGTTAGCTGATATAGTTATGTCATGGAACTTACTGCGAATTCGCTCTCACAACAACAACTGTATGGCCCATCGCAGATACAACGAGGGCCAATAATTCCCATCATATTTGTACGATTTGCATCTCGAAGAGTATATCGCATTCGACAACGACTAGCTCTACATGAAATAAAAGCGATATATGTCAACAACGAAATAATTCCATTTGCAACAATAATTACTCGTGATTAACACTTCCTATAGGTGTTCCTGGTGGTGATTCTATTATCATTTCTTGTTTACAACTATCACAATCACCGCACCAACAACATACACAGCAACATTTCAATGCACGTATCATTCGAATAACTTCCTAACGACTGAACATGAATCTTTATAGAATTCATCAATTCCAACTTACGTTGTTGGCAGTATCCATAATATGAAGTACTAATTCCCGGCTGCTAGCACACCAGCAACGTTGACAACAAGTCGATTCTAGTAATAAAATGAAATATTGTTACGAAATGATTTACTTACGTTCCTACCTTCATATACATTAAATAATAATTGACTTTCACGATTAAAAATACTAAATTTTGATGCCGGCTGGTAACCAGTCAAAGCTTCGAAGCGACAGAAAAATAATTAAAACGTCATATTGGATTTTTGGTTATCTACCTTCGACGAGAGACTTATGTTGTTTGACAAAAAGAAAATCAGTAGTTCTTAAAGACTGTAGTCCATCGATATAGTTCATTGATGCAGCCATTGTCAATTTTAGAATTTTTCTGAAAATCCTTACGATTATCTTTTTTTAGCTAGCAGCGACTTCTCTATTGAGCACCAGATTAAAAAGATGACTAGCACGTTTTTTGTTCTTCCTGTCGCAAGTCTATTTTATATTCTTCGCAGCTGCAGTACAACAAGTCTTTCAGTAGAGAATAGTTAAAAATGAAGTATTGCTTATCAGCTGTAAATTTTTTTGTCTACTCTTCATTTATAATATATATATATATATATACATGCATATATATATGGTATCTTACGTGAATAGTAATTTCGATATCAGTTGATGATCAAACTGATTCGATACGAGAGTATTTAAAAGCAGTTAGTGACAGCTAGGGGTGTCAATTTACATTTTACTTAATTTAAATTTAACTTCTTGAAAAGTTAATTTAATTTTAAATTAAATTCTATTAAGTTAAATTTAAAATAAATTTAAATTCTTCTGATGCAAAAATTTAAATTTAAATAAAATTTAAATTTTCAGAATTTAAATTTAATTTAAATTAACTTTTTGAAAATTTAATTCTCGATTTAATAAATTTTTTTAAATTTAAATGTGACACCCCTAGTGACAGCATCGCCGTCGAATTCTGTCGTATGAGCTGACTGGTCGTACGAACGTAAGAAGATACAAATAATGAATAAAAGTGTGCACAGAGGAGAGCTCGAAGCAGAGAAAAAGAAAAAAGAATCATGCTTGACGCATGAATATCATTATCTGATGAAAATGCACGAGTATTTTTGTTTGCAGACAACAGTGCGCGAATGTTCTCGCTTCAGTAGTAAATAAGAGCATATCCTTTTACAGTTATTACGTATGCGCATCGAAAAAAGCAACCTTGACAAAATTCTTGATGACACCGTGCGCAATAAAATATTCGTTGGTTTTTTTTAAAGTTCGTATAATCATACTGATAACACATCACTAGCTAGTGTATTAAAACATTCATTGTATTCAAAGCTGCTCTTTTATAAATCAGTATCATATTTAAAGTGTTCAGATTCAAATTTTTATTGCATTTATTTCATTTAGTAAAAAAATTAACTCGATTGAATTTTCGAGTAGTTATGATGATATTTTAAAAATATAAAAAAAGAACATTTAAAAAGGTTAATTAGGTGTTTAAAATATGACATCAAGTCAACGAAATTTTTCGTCTAACACAACTCAAGATAAAGAATTAGATTTTGAAAATTATTAATTTTCGAAATATAACATTTCATTAAGTCGGTCTCGAATTAAATGCTGCTCATTATGCGAGTTAACAGATTTTACGAACTATCCATCAGTAGTATTCATTAATAATCTATTACGACTATGAAAAGTTCATGATCTGATTATGCTGATTTGGTTCTATCCTCATCAGCTGCGTTTCTGTGATTCTGATCAGCTCCATTCGATCTCAAAATTTTTGAATTGTAACATTCGATGGTATGCAAGTGTGCTCCTGCCGTCTATTGTATCAATGAACCTTGAAAAATGGCCACCTTCATTTCTGTGTTTCGTTTTGTTGAAACTGGATGTCGGATGTGGATGTAGACGTTTTTCTCACCGGCACTGGCTCAGACGCCCACACCCACACCCTGGAAATCAAAAGATTTGATCGACTACGTGGAATCGTCTTTTAAAAGGATGAGATAAAAAATTGTAAAAACAGAGGCGCCCTTGTCATCAGACACAAATCTTTATTATCATAGTTCCTTTGAAATAATTGAAGTTCATCTCGTGAAAGACTAAAGTTTTGTTTAATTTCGTATTAATAGAATCATTTTCAAGGGATGTATCGTGACGAATAATAGATCTTCGTAAAACCTTGGATGTTCACTATACAAATTTACTTTTCAGGAAGTGACGGGTTACGGTGTTTATTTTATACCGCACAAATTCGATAATGAAAATACTATTCATGATTTTACTTGCTTTCTTACAAGTGTTTTTTTTAGTGTTCTGTTCTAGAATGTTTTCACACAGCTAGATTTATACAAGGCAAAAAGGCAATAGTCCAATGCCACAATACAAATATAGTAGAGAATAATTAAAATTTAGATGGTTTTTTTCTGTTTATTCTGTGTTTACTGATTGATAGAAAATGAAAATATCTAGAATCGAATGTTATCCATTACAGCAGAGCGATATCACTCGAATGTAACTTTGAAATTCAATGCTCGGTCTTGAACAACGTAATTTAGTTTGAATGCCGATTATTTCCTGTGACACTGCGTTGTCTGCTTCATACATCCTGATACGTGCAGCGTTATTTTATTCGATTGTTCGCAATATATTGGCAACCTTTCCCATTTGTTTAAATCTAATAATTTGCTAATGTTTTCAATATGTGCAATTAATCGAATTTTTTCGAATGCTACGCATATGTTTAATAAAATCAATTATTGTCTTCAGAAAACATGATGACCATTGATTCGTACAAGTGCTCCTTGTTGATAATGGAAAGTGGTTCAGATCAAAAATAAAATATTCAACATTACCGTTTGTAAAGCGGATTATGTTGCGTTGGTGTCGATTAGAACGAGAACAGGCATAACCTTGACAGTGAACTTCAAATCGTCTTATTGAATGATTGAGCTATCCCAAGAGATCATAGAACAAAGTAAAATTAACTTCATTGTCATACCAAAGACACGTTACCCGAGAGAAACAATTTTGGTACACAACGATTACTCTTCTGTCTGGAAAATTGAGTAGACTCACTGTGATAATATCACTATCACTATTTAACCGAGATGGGTCTCGTTCTGTACAATACCAAATTGGCGTAATACGTAAAGAAACAATTCGTTTAGGCTTAAATTTGAGAAGAATAGTGTTGATAAATAGATTGTCAGGGTCACAAGTTTCCACTGTTGTTTCTTGCTGACGTAGTAAAGGAAGGATACTGATGGTAGATGTGTCGATTGTATCATTCAATGTGAGATATTTCGCTATTTTAAGGATGATATTTTTACCCAAACGACTTTCTATGTTACGATAGAATGACTTAAATGACATGAAAAAAAGAATACTAGGATCTGTTCGATTAACAAACATTGTTTTTTCGTTGTTTCGATTATTAGAAATACTTGCGCGTGCTTTTTCATTTTCATCACATTCGTTTTTGAAACAAGTCAATTCATTGCGTACAGTTTCTTGTTTGGATATTTCTTGATTTCTTACTAAAACGTCAAATTCGAGCAACATTTCTGATTCATATTCGAATGCTAGCAGTCCTTCTTTTTACTCTTGGCAAATTCGCTTTATTCCAATAAGTTTCGGATATTTGTTGACGTCAGAACTATTTATAAGTTGAACCTGGATCATGGTTTGCCAAATGTTTGCCAACCTAATTAAATAGATATCTAATATAAAAAAATCTAGTTTCATCACTTTGACAAAAAATTAAAAAGGGATAGAAAAAAAATACTTTCTTCCAAACAACAGTTGTAAATTTTGATCAATTCGCTGAAAAACATTGAATTCGCACGAGTAAATAATAGATAATTTACATATTTCTATTTGCTTCTAAAGTAACATCATATGTCCATACAACATAATTTTCAAGTAAATAATCAATATTTGTTGTCGAACAGAATGTAAGGTGACAAAATATGTTACTGAATATGCTTCCGTCATGGTGTATATAGACAAGTACAGAACGACGCTTAAATTCAAATAGATGTATTTTCTTTTTAGAATCATAAGAATATATATGAACGAACTTCTTCAATCACTGCTGGACTGCACGCTGCTTAACATGCTTCTATTATTGAAGCATCGCGGAAGCTTGGACAAGCATTATAACGTCTATGAAAACATGCATGCAAAGATTCGATCGGCGTATCGTCATCTTTATTTATATTCATCGAAAATTGGTCAATAATATCTCAGACAGTAAGTTCATTTTTTCTTTTTCAAAGTCACACTAACTCACAAGGAGTATCCAGGGTCATATCATCGTCATCATTGGTACTAACCTTGTCATCTGTTATTGGATCATTTTCCTAGGTAGAGAAGCGAATTGCATTCGTATTCAATCTTTCAGTGTGGAGTTTTGAAATTGAATAATAATGTAACGCTTAAAGGTTTTGCAGTTTTAGAAGTTATCATAAACATAAAAATGATATTACCATTAACTCAAAAAGGCACACTTACCATTGTAACTACTAGGGCTTTAGTTTTGAATAGCAGATAATACTACAAAAAAGTCAGTAGCAGACTTTCGTAATCAGTTTATAGAAAATAGAATATGGTTCATTAGACGAGCGGTTCACAAACGACATACAATCTGTACATACGTTGGAAAGCAACAAGTTATTTTTCTTTCACAAGAGAAGAACAGCGTCTATATTTATCCGTCGATTAAAAATAGAGACGAAGAATAATTTCTGTTTTTGATAAAAGAAATACAGCAAAAATGCTTAGCCTCGCGGTGTAAACAACAAAACATTGCTATCAATAGTTGCCTTGTCGCAAATCACTACAAACAATCGCTTGCCTGTTGTAATTTTTAGTTATATGTAAAATACAAAATAATAAATGTTGATTTATAACATAAACAGCATGTGGACGTGGTTGGCATGTGTGGATGCTATATGTTAGAAGATTCGACGTTCTAGTAAGATTAACTTAGCAGAGATTCATGAATTCTACAGAGCTCATTCATTTACTGAGTATCTAGAAAGTTTTGCTAATGTTGATGATATCAGAGCGCAGCGGTATTCATGCTAAAAGGTATATTTTCACAAAAACACACTGTATTTTTCATAAGTTGTAATTTAAATCATTTATGATTACTAAATACTCCATACCAGTTTTCATTTCCCACATTTTAAAGGTAAATCCAATATACATATATATGCAATGAATACACCCACTAATAATGCGATACATTTATGATTTATTAGGTGACATTAAACATATAAGTATGATGCTGATTTTTATTCGATTTTATTATTAATCAGATTATCTTACAGTATTTTTATTTC